GCAGGCAGGGGCTGGCTGGAGCCGAGGGGGGAGGATGGGACCTGAAGGATGGGGCAGAGCTGAGTAAACCTCAACCAGCCCTGAGGGAGCCTGCTGATTTTGAGTAACTGGTACAGGCTCATCTGGGGTGACATGGTACACTCTGGTACCAGAGTGAGTAACCCTGCAGCTGGAGGATGTGGTGGTGTGGGTGTGGCTCATCTGCCACAGCTCCAGCCATACCCTGTGAAACTCCTGACAGCTAAACTGCTCCCTCAGTTGCACAAAACTTTCAGGGAGCTGAACTCTCTTTTCGTTCTTCAGCTTATCAGAACAGCGCATTCCAGGTGCAGCTGCCTAGTGGTGAGACACAGCCCATTCCCTGAAAAACTGCTCTGGCATACAGATGTATGCACCCTTGGGCTCCCCACAGGCAGAACCTGTATCAGCCAGTGAGGAAACCTGTTTTAAAGCATGCATTTTAATTTTGTGTGGTGTAATATTTCCCCCACCTCTAGCATCCTGTCCTATTAGGTATAATTAGATTCTTAATTTTTGCTCATTTAGAAACTGTAGTAGCTCCAGAGCAACAGACCGTTTCAGGTTCCTAGTTCTTTCTCTTTTATTAAGTTGCAAATAATTGGTATCTCACACTTATCATTTGAATTGAAATTTGCTTGGTGGGAAACATATGGTTTTGTGCATCTTTTTCATCTAGCAGCACATGGTTAAATTACAGTCTCACAGCAGAGCTGCGGGAAGGGACCCAGAGGCCTCTGACCTAACCTCTGCTCTGAGGAGGTGTCCCAGCACCAGGGCCTTGTCTGGCCCTCAGCGCTCTGGGCCAGAGCCGCCCACCTGTCTGGGGCCCTGTCCCAGGGTTGCAGCACCCACGTGGGGAAGGCGTTTTCTCTAATTTCCAAGCTGAATCTTCCAAACCATACGAAGAAAAAAAAAAACCCCAAACAATTGAACTAGGTTTACATGTGGAAAAAAAATATTTGTTCTTAAATCATTAACCAAAGAGAATGAACTGAAATGACTGAAAGATTTGGTGCCCAGAAACAAGCCTTAGGACAAGCAGAAATCAATCCCTCACTCAAGGCTTCCTTGGAAGAAATAGCCCTGGCTGTGAGTGCTGTGCTAGCTGAGCTAACAGGGATGGAGAAAGCACCTTCTGCCCTACATAAGAAGCTGCTCTTGCCAAATACTGGCTGAACACTTCTCATCTGTGCTTCACCTCTGACTTCTACCGCAAGAACCTTTAGCTCTTTAGCTGGCATTATTTAAATCATCCTTTATTCAGCTTTTGAAAACCAAAGCCCAGTTAACTTTCTGGCACTAATGCCTCTCAGCAGCAGGGAGAAGCCAGGCTGCAGGAGCCCTGGCAGTGCCACGCAAGCTCAGGGCCCCGCTCCCTGAGCCATGGTTGAAGTGGGTTGATCATTCACCCAGGTCAGTTTGACTCCCAGCCAGAAGGGTAGGCAAAGCAATGCTGAGTCAGCAGGGGCTGTCAGGAATGGAGTTGTGGGGAATATTAACCCCTCTGTTGCCTTCAGATTAAGGGGCAATTTGAGCCCTGAGTCATGGTGAGATCAGATTTTACACAGAAAGAAGAGCTCCTGGGTGCAAGCCAGGCCAAGTCCTGTTGCTGGCCGTGGCAGGCAGAGAGTCTGGCATCGCACAAGGGCTGTGTGCAGCAAGAGCAGAGATTGAAGATGTGCTCGTGCTGCAGAAGGCCAAGTGCTGGATGAGTGCCACGGTCTCCCTGCCCAGGCATCGTGGCCATGGGAAATACTGCCTTCTCTTAAGCAGGTTTTGGTAGCCAAGTGGTTATTTTATTAGCTAATGGCTTTGGTTTGATTCTTGCCTTGTTTTCCAGGTGTGGGGGGAAAAAAACCCTTCCTTTCTTGCTCACTCACTGTTACTGTCTCCTAGCATTGCTGCTGGATCTCGTGCTGGTGGCAGTGGTGAAAGGGCTTGTCAAGCGGCGGCGGCCCACCCACAACAAGATGGACATGTTCGTCACCATCTCGGTGGACAAGTACTCCTTTCCGTCGGGCCACGCCACCAGAGCTGCTCTGGTCTGCCGCTTTGTTCTGCACCACCTGGTGCTCGCTGTCCCGCTGCGGGTCCTCATGGTGCTCTGGGCTCTCATCGTCGGCATTTCCAGGGTCATGCTGGGCAGGCACAACGTGACAGACGTGCTCTTCGGTTTGCTGCTGGGCTACGCGCTGTACAGCGTGGTGGAGTACTGCTGGCTGTCCCCGCTCAGCGCGCCTGCCCTCTTTGCGCTCTGGAGCCATTGATGGCTGGGTCCCTCCCAAAGGAGGAGGCACGCACCGGTTTTCTAAGCGTGCACAGGGAGCGGATACTGGGACTTGAACTCAAATCCTAGACCCCATCTATCCAGCCAAGACTTCAACACTAGCGGTGCTGCAGGCTCCTGGGCCTGCACTTGGACCTTTGGTGCTGTCCTGCCCTCCTGATAGGCTGTCGGGCAGGGCGTGCACTGGCCAAGCAGCTGCACTGACTGTTCTCCCATGAAAAAACAGTTCCTGCAGAGCCCAGGGAGGGCTCAGCACATTCATCCGGCAGCTCAGTCCTGATACTGTGAATCAGCATGCCCTTGGCTGGGCACCTGTTGCATTAGCCCATGGTGTATGTGGTAGCTGTGGCTTTGCAGAGATTTCTCTGCAATTGCCCGTGTATCTGTATGCTGTAAATACACTGATCATGTTGCTGTCATGAGCGTGCCCTGCACAGCCTGCTCCATAATGTCTGCCTGGAGGGGACTCACTGGGGTCTGTCCTCAGGTTTATAAAGAGCTCTGCCTTCCTAAGCAATGCGTCTCTTCCCTATTGCTCTTGATTTAAGCACTGGCAGATCTCAAACAACAAGGACACAAGCACCTGGCTCCCAGTGCCATGGGGAAAGGATGATGCAGCTGAGGGTTTGGTCCATCCCTGCCATCTCTAAGAGAGTGGGTAACTGGGGAAGCTCCCAGTAGCAGCCTGCTCCTGAAGTCCTTGTGCAGAGCTTTACAGCTCCTTCCCACCTCCACAGGATTTTCAGTCTCCCAGGGGCTACAGTGCATTCACAGCAATTCCTGTTTGTCAGCATGTTACCAGTGCTGCTGACAGTATACTGCAGAGTGAGCCCCTTCCCATGGCCCTGGCTAGCAACGCACCCTTGCCAGGCTGCTGGGCAGCCCCGGGAGCTGAGCCTTACCTGCACCTCCCACAGCGAGGGGCCCTGGCTCTGCCAGCCATTGCCACAGCTCCCTGTGCTCTGGGCAGGCTGGCTCTCCTACCCTGGCAACCTTGGTCCTGGCAGCCTGTTTTTCACAGAGGACTGCTTGTCCTTGGCAGAAGGGGACCATGAGGAGCCTCTGTAATGAGTCAGGGCTGAGACTGAGCCAAAAAAAGTACAAAATCCACATCAATGGCAAACACAGGCAGGGAGTGAGGACTCTGGACTGAGCTTCAATAGCGCTCCTGGCCTGTGGGTGGGTGTGATTGGGCCCAGATGAGGCTCGTCATGGCCATTAAGGTCTATTAGTGCACTCAGGTCCTGGAAAGCACAGGTTAAGCCGTATTAATGCCAGGCAATGTTTAAGCATGCTGTTCCTCTGGGTGAAGTATGCAGGAGCAGCCTGGTACAAGCACCCTGTCTCTGTAACCATCTGTGTAACCATCAGTTACACGGGGGCTGAAATGAAAGCGCTTGACATGACAGGGTTCCCCCAGAGCTGAGCCATGACTTACTGGCACCATGAGCTGGTGAGGCTACCAGCTGTGGGTTTGCACCCCAGTGTGGGACTCGTACAGTGACCAAAACCAAAAATCCCCTGGGTTGCACTGCATGCCCGGCACCTGGCTGGGCAGGTCCAGCACGTGCACGGCAGCACCCAGCCACCCTGGCCAGCCCTCCCACCCCAAGGCAGAGCCGAGCTCTGTGGTGGCTGCGGGATCATGGGCAGGCAGGACGCTCCAGTGGGGTCAGGGTTTGGGGTGATCAGGGCTTGTTGAGCTGTGCCAAAAAATCTTAGCTCTACGTCCTCCCAAACACAGGGTCCTTTTTGTCCAAGAGGTTCTTACAGCTACTGGGGTCTTCCTCTCCAGGCCATGGAGGAGTACGGCAGCAACTCTGTGCATCTGTGGCTTGTTCCCACATGCATGCGTGTGCCAAAAGTTGCTTCTGGCTCACTTGCAGGACCCTCCACGAGCTGCTTGGTGGTACCCACCATCACCAGGGCATAGCCCCACTGGGTCACGGGCTGCCCTGCTGCCCTCTCACCTCTGCTCTGCTTCTTCCCACCTCCACCAGCGACACATCGTCTCCTCTTGTGCTTGTCACTTGTCACCGCTCCTCCAAGCATGGGTGCCAGCCCACTGATAGGAAGGAGGAGACTGGTGCTTTCTGCTCGGCTTGTCCCACGGCACATCTGCCCGCTGCGGAAGCCCTGAGCAGACATGTCTGTATGCACTGCCCACCACATTGTCCATCCTGGGTGCTTGCATGGGGAACCATGGCTTTCCTGCGGACATCAACAAGCTGGTCTTGGCCGAAATGCCATGGCTTGACCCTGGTGTGCTCCCATGGTCCCCTGTGCCTGATGATGTGCTTTGGCTGGGCCATGAGCCCAAGCACAACGGGAGCAAAGTCCAGGGCTGCGCAGCCTCTTGTAGCCACCCAGGGAGAAGGACAAATTCGAAGGCAACCTGCACAGAGGCTTCATAATACGGGGGCGTGCTTGAGAGCTGGGAAAAGTCCCCTGGACCTGTTGCTCTTGGGCAGTCCCTGCAGAGCTTGCAAAAGAGCCAGAAGCTAGCTGAGAGCGGAGCAGGGACGGTAGCGCTGCCAGTGCTGCCTCCTCACCATCCCCGTGCCGATCCCCCTGCCTGGTAAGAGATGCTTTTGATGCTTTTCAACAGGCAAGCATGCAGCGTGGCTTGGTACCTCTGCCCTGGAGCAGAATCAGCCCTTGCCAACAGTGAGGGATAGAAGGAGCTCTATTACATTCACTGTAAACAGACGATGAGTTTTAGAAGGTTAAAACCATTTCAGCTGCAGACCTTGGCCCCTCTGTAGCCAGGTGCCTTGCTCAGCTCCCTGGACCCAGGAGAGCAAATTTGCCCTGCAGCCCCCAGGGGCTGTCTGGCTGCGAGCGCACCAGGAGCCAGCGGCATGCTCCCAAGCTGACTGGTCTGTGCCTCGCACCGCTGGGGAGAGCCTTTTCCTAACCAGCCCCACCGCCCTGGCACCAGCGACACCCTGGTGGCATGGTGCTCCTCACGCCGGGCTCCCACTGGCCCCGGGAATCCAATGGGCCTGGAGCGAGCTGCAGCGACAGGGGCACTGTGCCAACATGCCCAGCGCAGGGGCATGGGGGACGTGGACAATGAGGTGCCAGGTGCCACTGGAGCAGCCAGAGCCGCGTGTGCTCCTGGGTACCAGCATAAACAGGGTTGGGCTGATCCTGCTAATCCCAGAGATAAAAGTTCAGGGCAGCGTTTGCTTATCTGGCGGGCATGCCACAGGGACCGGCTGCATCTCTGTCTCTCCTGCAACCCTGTGTCCCCACCGTGTCCCCGTGCGGGTGTTCCTAGTGAGGAGTGTGGGACGGCTCCTTACCCCGCCATCCAAGGCTGCAGCGAGAGCTGCTGCTGCCGGAAAAGCCAAGCAGGTGGCTGGGAGCCAGCTGGGAGCTGGTTTCCTCTCCCGGCCCATGGGAGGAGTGATGAAGGGGAAGGCCCTGCTCGCCTCCGCCTCATACCATAAAGCCAGGCTGCCGTCTGGTGTCACGAGTTGGGGCAACCTGGCAGAGACCCTCACGCAGCTCCCCGCTTGCCGCTGGCCTTACCCCCCTGCCACAGGTCAGTCGAAGGCCTCCCTGCAGGCTGCCAGCACGCAGTGGGTGCCGGGGCGGCGCAATGGACTTCTCCCTGGGGAAGAGAGAGGGCAAAGGGCAGGCAGAGGGGCCATCGCCCAGGCAGGAGGAAGCCATCGGTACCCGAGGCAGGGCAGGGCACTCCGGCATGGCTCCATCGCCAGGACTTGGTGTGGGCAGGGAGATTTCGAGGCTCCCTGGCACTCAGTAGCATTTCTCCCTGTGGCATGCAGAGGCAACGCCTCGGTGGTGCAAAACAACCAGCACTCGCCAGGTCCCGGCCAGGGGAGGAATAGCAGTTGCCTTGCAGGCCCAGACAGACTTTTGGGGGGCTGCCTCTCAGCTTGGGACCTCTTTGGTGCACAGGGACAAAATTTTGCTCAGCTGCCCCCTTGCCCCTCAGCCCCGCTCTCCAGCACTGTCCCCAGGCAGAGACCCGGCAGTGGAGGGCAGCATGGTGAAGAGAGTGGCCATCATCGGAGCGGGCAGCAGTGGGCTGTGTGCCATCAAAGCCTGCCTGCAAGAGGGGCTGGAGCCCGTCTGCTTCGAGAGGACAGGGGACATCGGAGGGCTCTGGAGGTTCGAGGTAATCCCTGCAAGCCACATGTCCTGCTGGGAGTCAGCAGTGTGACAGCTGGGGATCAGCGGTGGTGGCCAGTGGGGTGGCACACAGCCGGCCACGGCGGGGTCCTGGGGGGAGGCTGAGGGCAGGGGCTCCACACAAAGGGCCATCACATCAGCCCCAGCCATCCCTCCCCATCGCTACCCCCGTGCCAGCACCGAGTTGTGCCCCGCTCCCGCAGGAGCACCCTGAGGAGGGCCGCGCCAGCATCTACCGCTCTGTCATCATCAACACTTCCAAGGAGATGATGTGCTTCAGCGACTTCCCCATCCCTGAGGACTTCCCCAACTACATGCACAACTCCAAGGTCATGGAGTACTTTCGCATGTACGCCCAGC